CTTTAGTTTTTGCTTTTTAAAATATGTATGTATATGAATAAGCTATGATAAAATTTCGAATCATTGCTTGTTTATTTGTTTGTTTTTAATCATGAACAAAGCTACACAAGGGCTATCTGTGCTCTGCCCACCACGGGTATCGAAACCCGGTTTCGAGCGTTGTAAGTCCGCAGACATACCGCTGTGCCACTGGGGAGCAAGAATCATTGCAATTATACAAAAACTAAAGGACGTTAAGGGGATTTGCCCTTGAGAAATAAATGTTTATTATTGAACATAATTACTGAAAATATAATAGGAAACCACTTGGTGCTTTACGCTGCTAGGTACGTATAAGAAAGTGAGGCTTTTTAAAACTGTCACTAACATTCGGGATCGATCTCTACTGGAGGCATGATGTAGATAGCCCATTGTGTAGCTTTGTACTAAAAAAACAAATTTTTTAGAATTTATCTTCAAACTTATAAGAGTGAGGGAGAGAGCTTTTCTTGATGCTATACTTAATGAACTGCTGGTGAATGTTTTAACTAACCGACCCCAGACTGGACACCAAGGTTAACTTGGTTAAAGTTTTACATTAACCGACCTTAAACTTGGCACTATAATTAACGTGGTCAATGTTGTAACCCTACCGAGATGGGTCTTCCTATGGTCACGGGTCAAAGGCTATGTCATCGCGTTTGTAGACTCACATCCAAAATTTTATTGAACTACTATTTTCTGAATGTATGCCAATAAGTTTGGTATCAAATTGTAGATTAGAATTCAAATTTTAGTATTATACATTAGTAAATTTCTAAATTTAAAAGTAAATATTTTAAAAATCATAAATATCGTTTTTTTATGTGTCATGTGGTATGCTGAATGCAGCATTGGTTCAAATTAGATGTTTGTGATGTCCAAATACAAAGTCTATAGTTTCTTACGAATCGGATACTCAAACTACCGATATTGATAAGCTAGAATATAAGATAAGAACCTCTTATCTTTTCTATTTTCTGATATATTTATTGAATCAAACAAGGTGGCCCCACCCACCTCTTCCATTTTTTTTTTCAGAATACTTGCTTACGTACTCCTACTTCGTCCAATGACGTGTGTATAACCAACTGAAACCTCAGAATGTCCTAGTGGTTTTGTCAGCTCGAAAAATCATATTTTTTAGACCCAAATACGTCTTAGTTACTAAGCTTGATATGTTATAGTGGAATTCTGTGGTATTGATATAGCAATTTATGATTTTTTTGTTATTTCAAGACGCATATATAAAACATAAACATTTTTTTTGTTTACATCCTCCACGTGCAAACTTTGATAAGGCTTAGCAACTTATGGCAAGCAGTAAACGAGTACAAAATTCGTAACTAGAAGAGATATTTGTTTTCTATACTTCTTTATTTACTGTTCTATGTTTTAAGAAAAATAACTGAAATTTAAGAACTTATTAGTAAATAGTAATAAAGTATATTCATATATAATATATTATAACCAGATATGACTGTATTTTACAAAATACTGGTCCACTAAAACACAGCTAATACAGGTCACTTTGTAAAGGCCAATTGTATACTCTTGGATACGGTAACATGAGTGCACATGCGCCGCATAATTGCAACTTCTGTAATTTTAGTCAGGTGTGGCTGAAAGGTCAATGAAATAAAAGTAATAAATATATATAGATATATAATGTTATGAAATTTAAGCTATTTAGACTAAACATTTGTGTTTGTCAAAATAATGGAGTTTATTCTTTCTTAATATTATATATAGAATGTAGTATTTAGTAAATAGGTTGAATAATATTGGTGTTGGGCTAAGGATTCTTCTACAGTAGGTGTCTGTGATTTGTTGTCGATAAATTCAAAAATAAACAAGCAGCACGCACTCCACTTGTTTTCAGAATAATGTATATACGATATATACATATAAAAGATATATATATATATA